CTTCTTGAGCTTCAGCCTGACACTGGACAACATAAGCTTCTAGTAGTCGTGCCTCTAAATCCCTCCCCTTTTCTGCAGGTGTAATAAGCTTTGGGATATGACTTTCCTTTAAATGTTTAAAAATCCCCGCTGCAGTTTTTAGGCTTCGATGGACTTCTTTTGCTTCATCTTCTGTTATGTTTTCTTTTCCAGCCAGTCTTGAAGCATATTTGGTATACCATAAAGCTACATTAAATCCCATGGAAATTAATTCAAAAACAGCATCCTGCTGGGCACTTGGAACCTGTCCTTGTAATGTATCAGTCCATTTGAAATTTTGAATATATCGTAACTTGCTTTCTTGGGTAGATTCATCCAATGAATTTATGAAACCTTGTAAAAGTGAAAAATAGGAATCTGATGCATTCTTCATCATTTCTGGATTACAGCTCAAATCAGTGAAGAGTTCAAGCAGTCGTGCTCTGGATGATCTCAAGTCACTGCAAATTTTTGAAGCAGCAGGGCCAGCGGCTACACCATAGTAGTTAAAAGCGACAGGAGCTGTGGCTTTTAACGGATTCCTATGAAACCAGTGTGTCATTTTCTCCAGCTGTTTCCTATAAACAAAAAAGGAAACTGGGAGCCACCCCCGAGTTTGGAGCGCCCACTTCCTGTTTAGCACCCAACCCGGAAATAAAACTTTTAGCACTATGCTTGGCACATAATAAATATGATAATTATCATTTTATATAGTTCACTTCTTCTTTCCTAAACATGCCTTGCATTTCCTGCCACTCCATTGCCCATACGTCCCTGACCAAACTGGATACCAGTGAAGGTGGGCTCCATCTTACTCAGACTTAGAAGACTTCTGCAGCTCTTGAAAGAGTGCCTGTCACATGGTCAGGGGGGACCTGTACATGTTTGTTGGAATATTAACTAATGTCCATTTTTCACCTTAGGAAGAAGTTCACATCGTAACTCTATCAAATGTGCAGAGAAAAACCCTTGACCTGAAGGTATTTGCAGCCAAGGAAGCATACTTATGCCATAGTAGCAAGATCTAGTGCTAAAGTGTCAAATAATACACTTATAGTTGCTGTGTATTTACCTACACAATTACTACTGAATTGTTTCAATGTTTCCTCGACGATCACACCTAAAGGGCCATATCATTTAGAGGAATCAGGCTTTCTTTTTAGTTCCTTGTAAAATTGCTCAAGGATTTTTGTTGGCATCACCAGAAGAAATTCTGACACTGCAGGGTCATGCTTTTGCATTCAGTGGAATGTTTTAGAACGTTCTTTTTGGAAGAGATTGTATTTCGCTATTTCCTTTGTGTAAATAAAACACTTAATTACCAACACAAAGAAACCATTCTCCGAGAACTAAATGGCTTATTAACAAAAGATTTGAAATGGACTTGAGTTTCAAAAGGGAACAGAAGAAATTGAAGACATGTATCTTTAAACAATAATTACACAGTTGAAAATAATATACTGAACATAATTTTGCAGGTTTAATTTACTTGTTATTGGAGGAAAGACAGAAGATTAATTCTATAAATTTAAAAGTGTCTGGATTTTTTTTTTTTTTTCAAAATTTAACTTAAAATATGAGACTTCAACTATGGAAGTTGTATTGCCTCTCCCACAGTACAATGGGCCATTGTTCGAAGAGATAAGTCCACCTTCAGAGTGACAGTCTCAGAAAAGCTTATGAGCAAACAGTCCTTCTATTTTGCTTATGTTTTTCCATCCATTACAGTTGGAACCACATGGAATGCTGATTATTCAATTTTCAGAATCATGCTTATTGTATTTTCCATCTCATTCCAGAGTTCATTGAATCTGAGACCCAACCATAATATACAGAAGCAGTTGCTATTGTTTTCTCCCATTAATGCAAGCATATGTTATTCTCCTCATTCCAGTTCTTAAAATAACATTTTCATTAATAGGATCTTTAAGTCTGAATCCAGAATGACTGACAGGCTCTGAATGCAATAGAGAGAGATGGCAGTTCACTCTGACAGGACTAAGGGAAGAAGAGTTTAAGATAAAGAGTAGCTTCTGACCCACCAGGACAAGACAACTGGGTCAAACGGGCTACAAGAATTCTTTAATACCAAGCCCTTCCTCAAAGGAGATACGGAGCCACAGCCTCTCTGGGTCTTAGAATCCTGATTAAAGCATCTGCGGTATTCATCAGGCACAGAAGGTCTAAGCAACGAGGGCCTTCTGTGATCTGGAAGGATCCCCCCACACCATCCTCATCTTTTCACTCATGCTCTATTTCAGAATAAAGAGGTCAAACAGCGACAAATCAAGTAAGACAAAACAAAAACCAAAAATTTCGCATATTAAAGAAAAAGAAAAAATTTGCCTTATATACTCCGATTTGATAGACATTTAGTATAACTGACATGTTTTTCATGTAATATATGGCAAAATTGATTTTTTGACTGATGGCATAAAGGTGTTATGAAATAGTGGTTAAGAATATGGGCTTTACAGTTGGACAAATCTGGTTTTAAAACAGGTCCTGTCACTAATTAGCTTGGTGATCTTGGGCATGTCCCATCAACACACTGGCCCACCAGCTCAGAGTCCTCATCTCTGATGTGGGGTAGCGGTCCTAGTGGGGGAGCTGCTTGGTGCTAAGAGCCCCTATGACCCAAGACTCTGTGACACTCATGTCCCTGGGATTGCACAGCGCTCCACACTTTGATGAAACAGGCTCAGCTCTAGAAGTTATTTGTCAGCCACAACCATCAAAGGGGGTGGTGAAGACAGGTGTTAAGATTCCTGTTTCGTGGACAAGGAGATTAGGATATATAGAATAGCTAACTCATAGTGAATGTTGACCATATGCCAGGCACTGTCCCACAATTTTGTATGTATTCTCTCACCAAATTCTCCTAGTGACTGGTTGGAGGTGGGGGGGGGGGGTCCCATCATTATCCTCATTTTTTTACAGATAAGAAAACTGAGATTTAGAAGTTAGGTAAGTTGTCCTAAGTTCCAGAGCGGGTGGGGAACAGTGTTGCCTCTTCCTGTATTAGCAGTAATAAAGAGCTTTCAGTAAACCTGAACTTCCACTTTCTACATATCTAGTTGAGCAGTTCCGTTGTACTCCAGAATAAGGAGTACCGAGGAGCACAAAGCACGAGGCATGCCAGGAAGGACATTTTTAATCCAGAGCTGGGCTGAAAGGCAAATGGGCACCAGGTCTTTTGAGCGCGGACATTCTAGTCCTTGACTTAGAAGCAGGTGCCAGCGATGACATCTAGGACATCAGGGCCACTCTGTTCTTGGGAGACCCCGTGAGGCCCCAGGGCTCGAGTTAGAATTTCTTTTTTTTTTTTTAAGATTATTTATTTATTTATTTGACAGAGAGAGACACAGCGAGAGAGGGAACGCAAGCAGGGGGAGCGGGAGAGGGAGAAGCAGGCTTCCCGCTGAGCAGGGAGCCCGACACGGGGCTCGATCCCAGGACCCCGGGATCATGACCTGAGCCGAAGGCAGACGCTTAACGACTGAGCCACCCAGGCGCCCCATCGAGTTAGAATTTCTTGATGGTAAAGAGTGGCTGCCCCCAAGAGAAGTCCCTGCCCATTCTGCCAGAGGCCAGGAGCTGTGAGGACAGCACTTTGTCAAACAAGAGGGAAAGCTTCCTAAGGATTGAGCAGACTGCTGATCCTTAGGACTCAGCCGTGGGTCAAGGGCAGAGCCAAGAAAAGGGGACAGACAGGCAACCTTGCCTTGAACAGGGAACAGGAAGGACCACTGGACACACATAGGAAAGGCAAGGGAACACTGTCCGTCCTCCTACCCAGGCAGGGCGGCCGAGCACAGTGGTCCAGTTGGTGTGTGCTGGCTGGGAGGGCATTAGGGGCTGAACTTGAGTCTTGTCTGGCCCTGTCCATGGGCTGTAGAAACTTTATTGTAATCCCCCACCAGAGGGAGGCCTCTGTGACTCACATACTAGGTCTGTGCTGCACCCGGCGCTGCCTGGTCTAGTCCTAGCCCTGCTACCCTCTATGTGGTTCTGACCAAGTCTCCAATCCTTTTGAGCTGGAGTTCTCCCACTGGTAATACAAGGAGCATATCCTGGGTGATATCTGAGAGCTTCTCATCCTAAAAGAGGATGACTTTTTTTTTTTCCTTTTTGGAAGTCTCTCTCTGAATAGTTTCAACTTCATCCTTATAAGTATTTGGAGAATTTAAATGATTCTACAAGCTGGATATTACCTTCATAATGAGCTCCAGGATGAACAAAGGAGTAGACTCTATCTAAACTGATAGCACGTTTCTGCCATCACTTTTTAAAAAACCATTATTTTAAAAAGAACTTTTGGCTTTAAAAACCAATTTCAAATGAAAGTAATTAATTATCTTTAATCCAACTAATTCTATACAACTATTATTTTCATTTTTGCCTCCTCTTCCAGTTTGTATTCATCTACCTAGTCAGGCTGATATAGTTGCAATCCCGACGTTCGTATAATTCAGTAATTTTTCTCTCATTTGATACTTTAGCTTAAACATTTTCCATGTATCCAAGTCTTTCTAATTATCATTTCAATGAATGCATTATCTTTCATCAGAGTCCACACACCATAATTTACTTAGCAATTTCCAGAATGCTACACATTACACATTACACATACAGCTTGCTTCCAATTTCTTCTTGCTAGTATTGATAATGTTGTTAATTAACACTCTATGCGTATAGCTTTTTTTCCCTGATGAGTTATTGACTAGTAAAGGGGGAAAAAAAGCCTTTGCGTATTTTGAAACTAACTGCTGGAATCTGTAAAGCCATATTTACATCATCAAAGTACGGTTGTGCACAAGCTGCAGATCCTCTCCTGTTGCCAGGAAGAGAGGAAGGCCTGAGATACAGTTCTTACAAGCTGTCCCTTTTGAAGGGACCATGAAAACTGTTCAACGGCTCATGGGCAAGCCCATTTATGTTACCGTCCCTGTCTTTCTTTTTCTTCTTTTAAAAATGATGTTACAGGAGCATGAGGCCAAAGTAGCTCAGTTTTATGTAGATCGTTAGGTTCTGCTAATGCCCAGTGCAGGAAGCGAGGCAGTGGGACCTTCCTCCACTCCCCATCAGGCCTTACACACCGGTGTTTTCCTACAACCTATCACAGTGCCGCTTGATTAACTACCCGTTCAATTTAAAACTCAATTTCAAAGCCAAGAGAGAGCCATTTCTGTTTAAATGCAGTACATCAGACACAGCAAATTTGACACTTTGAATCAGAAAGGGCTATGAACAATTGCAACTATGCTCAGAAACACCATTTTTAACACTGGGGCAAACATTGTCAATTTCAGGCACGGGGTAGACATTCTGGTGCCGAAGTCCCTAAAGTCTCTATTGTCTCAAACTAGAAGTCAAAAAGAGCTGAGTGATGTTCATTTTATGGGAGACCAGAGTTATTACTAAATGCAAAAAATTCAGATTAAATTAAATCAAAGCCACTCCTGCACTAATGCTCTAGAAGGAAAGACCTGAAGTCTGAAGCTATTTACCAAAGGCAGCATCAGGCTTGGGCAGCTGAGCAAGCATAGCCTGAATATGTCTCAAGAAGCGAAATTTAGGTCATTTTTGTTCATT